TAAACGAGTTCAATTTCCGATCAGTGCATATCCTTAACAATTTGTGGTCTGAACCTAGAAAAGCCTTTTTTACAAATACCTTCACTTAAAAGAGCATGGGTTGGAATGCTATAATTAATTCATGGCCAATAAAGAATCCCAAAAAAACTTTCTTTTTAAATTTACCTACATTAATTATCCAAATAAAAAATTGAGAATAAATAAAGGTTATATTTGTTTTTTTTGTATACATATATACGAAGGTTATAAAAACCTGCGGTCACCCGGACGGTGTTGGCCAATAGTGTTGATACTATTAGTTAATCCGGTGGCTGCACATCTCCCGTATCCTTGCCGCACTCCAATATTTCAAATTATGAGTTCACCATTGCTTTTATTAAGACTTTTCTTACCAGTTTCAAGGATTTGTTTATTGTTTGATTTTTAAAATTGTATTCCGCTGCACGACCGCGAGCTGGCTAAACTTCGCCGAGGTAATCTGCTTTCCATTGCCTGTGGACAAAATTTCCGGAGCTTCAAAGTTGTAAAAGATTTGCTTACTTCGGCTCGCATGAGCGGAGGCATGTTTGTTTTGCTTACTGGTAGCACTAGTCCGCAAATATTCCCTTACTTTCACAAACATATTTGGTCACTAATAGAACTGTGTGTTTTAATATTTCTCCCATGTAGCACTGATTCGCTTTATGGACCTGGGAATTAAAGCGTTTGTCAGGGCTCTGAAATCTAGAATTTCCTCGGATACGGTTTCTTAGAACATAATGCGCTTAAATAGCAGATCGTCCTCTAACCGTACGTCTAAATATGATTCCGGCTCCTTCTTAGCCACAGTATTTTTTTGCAGGTATTCTTCATTACTGAATGCTGTCGTCTAAAAATTTAAGAAATCCACCTGGGCTAACTGAAACTTTCTGGATAACATATCCGCTACCACGCTGGAACATACGAACTATTGTAGTGAACCTAGGCACCTCTTAATTTCGCAAAGCTAAAATCAATCGGTCTCTGCTTGCCCTCGTCGTCCCCCTAAAACAATACAGCTCCGATTTCACTTTCGCTGGAGTCGCATAGATAAAAAAGAAACTTCCTCACTCATTTTTCAGTTTTTTCCTACTTTTAGGCAGTTAGTAAGCGGTGCCGTCAGTCCGAGAAATTTTGGATGAACCTCCTATTCCACACTACAGTTCAAAGAAAACGTTGTAGCCGTCTTATCGACGTGGGCAACCGTATCTCTGTGAACACCCGCTCTTTATAAGTTCGTAAGCATCAGTCTCCGATTATAATCCCTTGGTATTTTATTAATCTGAAATTAAATTTTGAATTTTTTAAGCCTATTGTCTAATTTGCCTTTTTTAGGCAGGCTGCCACTTCCCCTAATACACCAAAGTGTTCGTCGAATGTCTTCGATATAATGAGCAGGTCATCCAGTTTCGGACCAGCGTCACCCTGTTGTTCCAAGAGCTTTCGCTCTCCTCAATGACTCCAAGCCTCAAAATCTCTTCAATAACAGCTGGAGACACCGGGTAAAAGCGTTTCTTCACAGGAATCTAACCCACTTTCAACTATATCACGTATGTTTGCATGCTCGTATGCCCGATTCTCTGACCCTCAAAGTTTCGGAACAGACTGACTACTTCGTCCAGGCGATTTTGTTGCTTTTAGTTCAAAGTATAAGGCTCGAAGGGTATGTTTTTGGTCTAGAAGTCATTTCTTGCCGGTAACATTTCTTTGACGACCGGTGCCAAACTAAATTATCTCCAAAAACCTACTCCTAAATTCAGTTTCTGCCTTAACTACGGACAAAGGAAGAGTTTAACTAAATGGGTCATTATACAGTGGTCAAACAAATATTACAAACATTTTATATGAATTTTCAGAGCAAAGTGTACTTAAACTTATTTTTCATGCAATTACCCCTTCTACTTATCCTATTGTTCCATGCGAAGTTTCTCCAGCAGAATGTACTAGTGAGTCATTTGGACTCAATTGCATATGCAGATTCTCCACCAAAGTTATGCATGACCCAGTGTGCTGACTGAGACTCCTGTATCTAGAAGCTCGGCCAACGTTTGATTACCAATCAATGATCGAATGACTGCGCAAAACCGTTGGTCGGTCTCACCCCTAAAGCTTATTTTCCTTCCTGCCTCGTACAGTGCTGGCTTCTGCTCCAAGGATTTCCTTAGGGGCCACCTTAAATATGTGTTTATACCCTTGCAGAGGATTTAATAATTTTAGTCAGAAGTTTGCAACGCAGTGAAGGAGACGTTTCCGACCCTATAAAGTATATATATTCTTGATCAGCATCACTAGGAGAGTCGATCTAGCCTTGTCCGTCTGGTTTAAAGCTATATGCGAGAAACTTTCCCAAAAGTTGTCTTTCTATTGCTGGTAGTATATAAGTACATATAGAACGAGCCGGATCGGACGACTATAGCATATAGGTCCCATAGGAACAATCGGAAAAATAAATACAAAAACATTATAACTTTGCTGTTTTTAATTTTTCTTAGTTTTTCGACATATAGTAAAGGTTAAATATTTCAGAACTACGGTTTAAATTTAATCAAAATCGGACGACTATAGCATATAACTCCCTTAGGAACAATCGGAAAAATAATTGATAAAAATAATAACTTTGCTGTTTTTTAATTCATTTTTTTAGTTCTTCGACATATAGTAACAGTTAAATATTTCAAAATTACGGTTTAAATCTAATTAAAATCGGACGACTATAACTTAAAGCTCCCATGGAAACAAAAAAAATATTAAAAAAAAAATTTTAGATTTAACCTTACAAATTTACAAATTTATATTTTTTTTTAGAAATTCTTTTTGATTATTTAATTATTTGACAGTTCAGAATTACGCTTTTAATTTTATTAAAATCGGAAAACGATATCATATAGCTGCCATAGGAACTCAAATAATTCAGGTACAGAACAGCACAGCTTCAATGCTTTTAAACATACACACAAGTAAATCATATTTTAATGTCTTCAAGTATATATAATAGCTGCAAGGGTATATGAACTTCGGCTAGCCGAAGTTTGCTTCCTTTCTTGTTTTTCAATATTATTACAGTTTATTATTAATTAAGGTGTTTTTTGCTGAAACGTTGTTTAATTCCTCTGCGTCTGAATGCGAAATATTTGGGGGAAATTATGTCATCTATAGATGTGCTTGTGCAATGCGTCTTCAGGCCGCCGACATAGTCAAAATGTATCGGCAAGTACTGATTGATCCCGCGCATCGCAGCTTAACACTCACTTGCGGCACCGTAATTCGCAGTATGTCGTTCCTAAACCTGACATATAAAATCGGTGCAGAGGTTATCAAATCGACTTTCAATGCGGACGACATCCACAGTGGAGCAGACACGGTGGATCTCTTAAGCAAAGTTCAGACCGAAGTCATCGCCATCCTCAAAACGAGCAGGATGGAACTCGCAAAGTGGCACTCCAACCATCAGGACTTCGTCAACGAGCTGACTGACAAGGATCAGAATTTCGAAGACTGCGCCCTCACAAGCACACTAGGCCTGAAATGGGATCACGAATTTCAAAATCTCTTTCAACCCAAAGGTCACAAAGCGGGCTATTCTTTCAGTGGATCTGTATTCGATCCGCTGGGACTTCTCTCATCAATCATTATGGTAGCGTAAAATCCTGCTACAAGAAATTTGGCTCCTAAAATTGCAGTGGGACAAGTCGGTCCCAATGCCCCTTCAACAAGCATGGCTTACATTTGTTCACTCATTACAGCATCTGGATTCCCTGGCCACACCTCTATTTTGCTTACAGCCCCACATCGAAGAGCTGCAACTTCACGGCTTCAGCGACGCCTCCATACGGGGATATGGATGCTGCATCTACGCAAGGACGATGTGCACCGACGGCCTTTTGATAACCAAACTCTTTTGCAAAAGGGAGCACCGGTTCGTACCCATCTAAAGTTGTTATCTCCCTTCCTACAGGAACGTCGGTGGTCAGCTGGAACTCGCACCAGAAGTCATCAACTACGTCAGACATCTACACCTTCGTCACTAACGCACTGGTGCGAAGGTACTTGTAGGACTAATGCGCTTGCAATACTGGGTCGATCGCCGTGTTGTACGTATCCTGCGTACATGGTGTACGTTTCAGACCTAAGTGAATGCAGCAGGGTAACCTCTCAGTCAACCTGCTCACCATCTCAGGACCATTCACTCGTTGCGGCATAGACTTCTGTGGACCCGCATGAACGTATTTACGAGTTCGAGGAAAGATGCCAGTAAAAGGTTACATCGCAATTTTTGTGTGCCTATGCAGCACTTGTGTGAAGGCAGCACTTATCAAGATAGTCTCATGTGGGTCAGGAAGGCGCTCCTGGTCCACCAAGCAATGGCACTTCAAAATGCCAGTGTTGCAGGATTAAATACTGGCCTACTAAACAAGAAGCGACGTCTGTAATCGAAATCGCACGAACTTATTTATACATCTTATACTTTGTAGGGTTGGAAACGATTCCTTCTGCCCCTTACATACTTTCCAACGATTGCAATATACGTTTTTACTCTTCGAGAAACGGGCTTAAAAAATGTATGAAATGCAAAACTTCTAAATTTTTAATTTTTTTAATTTTTTTTTGAACATGGTGGCTAATTTAGAGTTACGCTCCTAATTTTATTTAAATCGGGAAACGATATCATATATTTGTCATAGAAACGAACGTATAAAACAAAAATCACCATAGCTTGATCAAAAAGTTTCCGACTTTGCCACCGTGTGGGCGCTCCCAGTCAAACGATTTCAATGCATTTTTTTTCCCCAGATTAGTAGAACTGTTGCTTATATTTAATCGTCATCGATTGACATTTGTCAAAGTTACGTTGTGTTGTTTACATTAATCTTTGAGCGTGTCTTCGTATTTTTTGATTTTAAAAAATGGATGGAAAACAAAAGCAACGAATTTGCATTAAATTTTGTGTTAAAAGTAAAATTAGTGTTCTGACTACTTTGGAAATGTTGGAGAAGTGTTTCGGTGACAATGCTTTGAAACTAACAACAGTTCGCGAGTGGCATGGACGGTTCAAAAGTGGCCGTAATTCCATCAACTATGATGACCGTTCTGGCAGGCCATCCACTTCGAAAACGGACGAAAACATCGGCAAAATCAAAGACTGGATGGCCATAAACCGCAAATTGACTATTAGGGAGATGGCAGAGGAGTTGGACATTGCTTTTGGAACCGTTCAAGATATTTTGGCTAATGATTTGGGTTTCAGACGCGTCGCTGCAAAGTTAGTGCCAAAAGAACTGAATTTCATACAAAAAAATGGACCATTTTCCGTGACCATTTGGCTAAAAACAGCACCAATACCATCCAACAACCATCGCATTCACCGGATTTGCTCCCTGCGACTTTTACCTGTTCAGTCGACTTAAAAAACCGCTCCGCGGAACCCGTTACAGCAGTCGAGATGAGATCATCGAAAAATCGAAGATGGCTCTGATGGCCATACCGCGAGCTGACTTTAAAAAGTGTTTTGAGGATTGGATCAAGCGCTGGCATAAGTGCGTTGCAGTCTATGGGGAGTACTTTGAAGGGGACAATATTGATTTTGATGAATAACTTTGTATTTTTGATTTTATTAATAAAAGTCGGGAACTTTTTGATCAAGGGCGATAGCTGCAATGGCTTGCCGAAGTAGGCATCCCATCTTGTTTTTACTTTTTTATGATTTTTAGATTTTAGAGTTGATCAAGCCATGTACGCCTGTGTGTCCGTCCTTTTCTACGCAAACTAGTCTCTCAGTTTTAAAACTATCTGAAAGAAACTTTCCCAAAAGTTCTCTTCCTGTAGTATTCAGGTAGTATATAAGGAGGAACGAGTCGGATCGGACGATCGCGGAGAACGATCTCATATAGCTGCCATAGCTTCAATTTTTATATATAAGTTAAAAGATTGGTTATGATTTTTATATAAAAAAATCAAACTTTCCTTTATTGAGTTGGATTAAGAACTAACTTACTTAGGTTAAACAATTGTTTTTATAGCTACGCGTCGCTCCATCGCTGCCGCCGTCTCTGCCGCTGTTGATGTTTCTGCTGACGTTCTTTCATATTATTGGTTGCTGCTCTTGGTCGCCGTCGCCGTTGGCCAAACTTAATTGTAATTGGCCAGTGCATTTTAATTATAGTTTTTGTTGTATGCACTAAGTTGAGTTCGATCAACTTTGGAAATTGGCTATTCTGCATTCCCACGATCGCTGACCAAAAGGTGCAAGCTAAGTTCGTTAGAACTTTATTGAGAGCATTGCTTTGCTGTTAGTTGTGCAATTAATGCTCTCTTCTTCGGTTTGGGAAATTCTATTATTGAGGGCATTGCTTTGCTGTTTGTTGTGCAATCAATGCTTACTCATTTCCTTTGTCTGAGAAATTGTATTATTTTGGGTGTTAACTCTTCCCTCCTTAAACGCGACTGTCCTCGGTCGCAACGTAGTAGAGTACAGGTCCGGAGTGCGTGGGCTTTTCTTGCGTTTCTGGCACGGAAACTGGTGTCCTTTCCGTTGACCTACGTCTTCGTAGGCGTTCCGTGATTGATCCTATTATAAGTAGTAGTAGGATGATGGCGGATCCGTAGCTAACGGAAGATTCTATGGTTGCCTTGCTTCTTAATTTTTCCAGCGCTTTTGTGTTGTTAATGTTAAGTTCCTTGACCATTTGTAGTGAGAGAACTTCCTCTAACTTAGTCTTTTCGCCCAATAGTTGGAATAACGGAGGTTCTGGTTCGACTACGTTGATTTCCTTTGACTTGAAGATGGTTTCACCAATTGTTACCGTCGAATTACGATATTGTATTATGAAAGAGTCTTGCAGTTGTAGAAGTTTTTCATCTAGTGAGACTGGTCCATTGAAGTTGTTTAGCAGGATGGTGCCTGGTAGTATTTCTTCGAAATCCGGTATATGTTGATTGTTGATCATCTTACATTCTGGTTCTCGAAGGTTTAATAGAGCGTTTACGCAAGTATCATTGCTTAAATCTAACAAATTTTCTGAATTACAAATTGTTTTATCATTATAGGATTCACAAGGTTTAATTATTGCCAATAATTGTCTCCTACATTCTAAAAAATTTTCATATTTTATATCATTGATTATTTGGGCTTTTTTTATTGCTTTAATTTTTAAAGTTCTACAATTATCTGATTCAATGGTTGGTAAGCTAATAATGTAAATAAGGTCGTTGCCATTTGTGGCTAACTTGATTCGAGCAAATTCCAATAATTCTTCTATGTTAAAAAATAAGTTATTTTCTTTTTTAAAAATTTCTTCCACTATTTTGGTTTCTGTGTTTGTAAGTACAAATGAATTTATTGTATTAGATTTGGCCCATGTAATTGCGTATATTATGTTAATTATTTCTTCTTTTATTAATTGAATTTTATACTTTAAAATATTTGCTTTCTGATTTATGATTTCTTCCGAGCTCTGGGTAATTTTCAACATTGCATTAGTAGCGTTAGTAAGTTGGTTTATTTTTTGATTAATTAATCTGTTAATTACTACTTGTCTTTTGTTGTTTTCTAGCTGCTCATTTATCTTGTCTTCTAAGATCTGATAGTCGTGGTGATCTGGCGATCCCGCCAGCCATTTCCATGCAGTACCTATTGCTTCTATTGCCCTTTTTTGTCTTTTTTGAGTTTGGAGTATGCGTAAATCCGTTTGGATTTGTTTTAGTTCATAGGAAAGATATGGGTGTAATGGATGAGATGGGGTGAGTGAATGAAATGATTCTTCTAACTTCGCCAGAGTTTCTTCATAGCTTTGTAGGTTAAAGATGTGGATGATTTTAAATGTTCCGTCTTGTTTAGCCGATAATCCGGTTTCGATTGCGATGATTTGTGAATTGGAATAGTCGAGGACTGTAGTTATTCCCAAGCATGTTGGTACAAATAATCTGAAAAATTATATTCTTATATTATTTTTATGTATGATTTTTCCGGTTTGTGTTTTAATGGTGGTCGTTCTATTTTCCGCTACTTTCTCAGTTTTGTATTTAGGTGTAAGTTTAGTTCCTAATCTTTTATCTATTTTTACATGTACAGTTTCGCCTGGCTTAAAAAGTTTTGGTAATATTTTTCCTTGATTATGGTATTCGAGGTCGGCTGTTTGTTTATTTTTAATTTTCTTTTTTATTTCTTCTCGTTTCTTTTCTATGTCTTCTGTTGAACTAGAGATTGTGCTTCTGAAAAATATGTCTATGGGTCTTTCTTTTGTTACAGAATGTATCGATTTATTATATTCTTGAACTGCTTTAAAGATTAAATCTTCAAATGATATGCTCCCGTTGTCTTATTTGAGACACCGCATGATTTCAGATAGGGTTGAATGAAACCTTTCTATTTGTCCGTTACTTGTCGATGCGTACGGTGCGGTGGTGTGTAATGATATTTTGAGTTCATCTTCTAACATAAACTTTATTGCTGCTGAGCCAAATGATCGTTCGTTGTCCATTATTATCCATTTCGGCATACCGAAAGCAATTAACATTTCCCTCAACGGATTTTTAATATCTTCAGATGCTCTTGACTCTAAAATTTTTACTTGAACATATTTTGAAAACTTGTCAATTCCCGTTAAGACTCTATGTTTTTCGGTACTATAAATATCTATGTGAACTATTTCTCCTGGGTAATTAGGAATAGGGGTCGGTTGGATTTCTCCTTCTGGGGGGTGTCTATCATATTTTGATTCTTTACAAGTTTGACAGGCTTGAACTATTGCTTGGATTTTCTTGGTAAGTTGTGGAAAGAAATAATTCTTCAAAATTTGTAATTTGTTCTCTTTTGCATCTCTATGGGCTCGTTTATGTTCGAGGATAATTATTTCGTTTTGTTGGGACTCCGAAGTTACGTCGTCTATTTCGTTTTGAGTAAACCTTACCTTGTATGATTTAAAATAGGTAGGGTAAATGTTTTGAATTTTTCCCATTACCTCTTCGGATGTAATGATTCCGTTTATAAGCTTAGGATCAAGTTTACTAGTTAAAATTGCAATAAGTTTTTCTTCCGTGTAAGACTTTTGTTTAATTATGTGTCTGTGGTATGTTGGGAATGGCATTTCGAAGCTATAGGAATCTGTATCGACAGTCAGTAATAATAATTGGTTTTTAAATACGTTAATTGGAGCTTCTACTGAAAATATGAGGTTGTGTGACGAGCTTTCGTCGCTATTGGCTGATGCTGAGGAGCTGATTGAATTAATTTCTGCGGGGGCCCGGGACAACGCGTCCGCTACCACATCAGCTACTCCGGGCTTGTACCTGATCTCGTGGTTATACTCGCCAATGAGGTCTCTCCAGCGTTTAAGCTTAGCGTTATGGTTATTTACGCTATTCGAAAAACTCAAGGGTTGGTGATCCGTGTATATTACCACTTTTGAATACCCGTAAAGATAATGTCTTAAACTTTGGAGCGCCCAAACGATCGCGAGCATCTCTCTTTCGTTAGTTGCGTAGTTCTCTTCAGTCTTTGACAGGGTGCGTGAAATGAACGTTATTGGCCTATGATTTTGTTCCAATACTGCGCCTATTGCGTAACTTGAAATTCTTTTCCGAAATCTGGATAGGCAAGGGTAACCTCCCTGGAGACGAGAGTATTTTTAAGTTTCTCGAATGCTGTAATCGCATCTTTGCTCAAGTTGATAGCAGTTCTGCTTGACTTGGTCTTAGATATCCGGCCTTCTTCGCCTCTTAGAAGAATGGTTAGGGGTTTTGCTATTTTGGCGTAATCTTTTATGAACCGCCTATAATAACCTGTCATGCCCAAAAAGGAACGGAGATCTTTTAATGTTTTTGGGACTGGAAATTTTGTAATCGCTTTTATTTTATCTACGTTGGTTTTTACTCCATTTTCTGATATTGTGTACCCCAAGAAGTCTACTTCGTTTTTAAAAAAATGGCATTTCTCTATTTGAACCCTCATATTTGCGTTTTGTAGCGTTGAAAATACTCTTTCCAAGTTTTTGCATTGCTCCACTTCGTTTTTGCTAAAGACTATAATATCATCAACGTATACATAGCAAATTTTCCCTATGTATTCTCTCAATATGTCGTCTAACGCTCTTTGAAAAATGGAAGGGGAATTTTTCAAACCGAATGGGAGTCTCGTAAATTCATATTTTCCGCCATTTACCGCGAATGCTGTTTTTTCTATGTCTGTATATTTCAGTGGTATTTGATGAAAACCGCTCTTAAGATCTAATGCCGAAAAATATTTGTTTTCCCCGAGCTGCGCAATAATTTCTCCAATTTCGGGTATGGGATACCGATCTGAGATAGTAACTTCTGTACTTTTTTTCTTCGGACTGGCCGGACTTTTTCGGAACTACCCAGACTGGTGCATTATATGGTGATCTTGAAGGTCTTATAATACCATCTCTTAGCATCTCAGTTATTTGTTTTTCTACCTCTTGTTTGAGTGATATTGGGTATGGGTAATGTTTTCCGTAAACTGGAGAATCTGATGAAGTTCTGATCTCACCTACTACTTTAGTTGTGTATGCTAACTTTGAATCGGGATCTGCGAAGAGGATTTTGTGGCTTTGTACGAGGAGTTTTATTATTGATTT